AAGTTTAATCAATAATCCAAGAGATGAAAAAATTGTAAAAGATTGATTATCAAATGAATTATTTTTTCAATTCTCATATCCAAAAATTACTATTAATTAATTATGTTAATTTAATTTTCCATCAATATATACAAAAAAAAACCTTAAAATTCCTAGACTACCCCTAACAATCTTCAATTTTCTCTTATTATAATTAACTCCTTTTATTTATAAGTAATTTATGGCTTGAGGGTAAATTAAAAAATAACCTCTTTAAATTTTAACAAAATATTTTCATATAATAAAGAGAAATATCTTATGCCCAACATAAATCTTATAATTTATAATAATTATCTATTTTGTATAATTTAGTTATTCTTCAAAATGAATTTCTATACAGAAACTACCATTTGCACATATCCTATCAATTAATTCTAAATATGATAAAATATTTTAATCATCATAAATATATTAAATACTTTGTTTAGGAAGAAATTTATTCTGTTATTTGTTGTATTAATCTAAGAATCAGGATGAGATGATGAGGTTATTTAAATCTTCTTCTTTTCCTTTTATTAAACATATTGGATATAACATTAGCACTTCAGGATTTCTACCATTTTTATTATATTCCGAACTCATCATTTGAAGAACAAAGGATATTTTACTTTTCTTTTAACAATTTTTAAGATGGAAAGTAAAGGTTAATCCATCATTGACCTATCTACAGAATATTCTAGAAATATTCATATTCATTATTACCTTAAAGCTGAAATTTCCTTTCTGAAATCTTTTCGACTCTTCTTCTAAAAATGAGCCCTTTCTTATTAGTGTTTTAAGCTTTTTTTCATTTTCGAAAACCTCACAAATGAATGCTGTGCTAGAACAAAAAATTTGATTTTATAATGAAAAATTTATATTTGAGGAATTATATACATTCTTTAATCTTTTTAGGATATTGATTTTTCATCATCTCTTATGTGCCTATGAGTAGCTATTTTATAGAAATATTCATTATCTTGAGAACTTTTATATTCATTCTAAAATCAAAGAGATTTATTTATGCATTTATTAGAACAATTAATTCTGAATTCTAAGTTTTTTTGAAAATAAAATTTGTCTTCTTGATTTTTCTCCAAAACACTATTATTTACTAATAGAAATCGAATAAATCATAATTTAAAGAATTTTCTAATAAATCAATGACTTTCAAATTGATATCATCCTTATCTCCTACGAATGAGAATTTTTCATTTCCAACTTCAGCTATTCTTTAGAGTAAACACTTACTAAATTTGCTTATACTAACTATTTTTTAAAGATCCTATTATCCACATAATTTTTCTTTATTTTAGTTTTTAATTCTGATTTAATTCTTAAATTTGGTCTAAAATTAAAAATAAGTACTTATCAATTAAATAAAAGTGGAAACAGTAAAAAAAGAAAAAAAAAATTTCTATGATAATAAATTAATAGATAACCACTAAGTTTATAAATTGCATAAAAAAGAAAGTTTATTTGAATATGTATTATTAAAATTCTCATTTTAATATTCAATACATGTAAATATCATCTTAAAAATGAAGAAGAAGAATAAAACATGAATATTAATATTGAATAAGTATCAAATGATAAGAATGACTTTATTGACACAAGTAAGCCATTATATTAACCATTAGATGATTAATTTATGTTGACCATAACATGAAAAAAAAACAAAATAAATATCAGTACATTTTAGGCTCTAAAAGTGATAGAAATTAAATCTGATATAAAATCTTTATTAGATACTTCTAATAATTAATTATAATAACTATATGAAAAAGAAGAATAGTAACAATTTAATAAAGAAAAATAAATTAAAAGTAATGAGGCAAAATTTTAACAAGATATTAATCTAATTTAAAATATAGTGAAACCCTCAGTATTAAATGATGATAATAATTAAGTTTAATCATCGTCATCTATCAAAGAAATAAGATAAGAATTTTAATAAACTGATTATGGAGATTCTTTTATTGTACAACAACAAAATTGAATGATATTATATAATCACTCTTTAGAGAATTAAGACATAAAGCCTGATATTATAATTAAAGGACCTTCTAAATAAGTAAGCAACATATAAACTGATGATGAACATATTGATTCAAATAAAATAAATGATTAATTTTACTTTAACTTAAAATAAGCACATTTTGAATTAATTCAAAGAAGTCAATTAAATTAAGTTCATGTTTGAAATTTATTCTTATAGTTTTATATGGTTTTCTTATTTATTAAGAAAAACTTTTCCTTGATAAAATAATGGAGGAAAGAATTAATAGCAATATATGCCATTATAAATACCTATTTCATTAGTTTTTTAAGGAATTTCCATCTTTTTTATTTAATTCATCAATTTATAAATGGTCATCATTATTAGGTTAAAAAAAAAAACATATTATTATTAAGGAAGCATAATCTAAATCCATATATATCTACATTTATTGTTTATATTTTTGTTAATGTTTATGAATCTCCATAAAAATAACTAGCATATCTTATAAATTAATTATCATTTCCACAAGATATTACATTATTTTAATCATAATTAAGACTAATTCCATATACAGCACTAGTAAGATCTGTTAATTTTTAAGAGCAAAACCATTAATTCTGTAATCTCTTATTCTTCCTCGGACTGTTATATTTAAACATAAGGTTTTTGGCAGGAAAGATATTTTTTAATTTAAATAATTTTTATTAACTTTTTTTTTTTGCTTGAATTTTTATTAGAATTCATAATTTTAATCTTTTTTTAAAACTAAAAGTCATAAATTCTAAGAATTAATAATATCTTCTGATATTCCATTTAGGATTAACATAAAATAGTACACATGTATAAAAAATAACAAAACTAGATTCTTAGAAGAAGATGTAAAAATGTTAAACAGGCTTAATCCGTCTGACTTAATTTTTTTCAATAGGAATATTAATTTAAATTGATACTCAGCCGAGTAATTGTTGAAAAATTACGGTTTTCTGTATCAGAAATAGAAAAATCTGATAGTTAATTTATCAGATTAAATAATAATGAAAGTAAAATTGAAATAATATAATAAATTCCATATAAAGGTCTAATAATAAATCTAAAATACAATATGCTAGAAATACTAGATTTACATTTGCACTTCTTTATTCGCCTCCATTCTTGGTCTTTTATATAAATATATTATTGAACTTTACAATTCTTCTTCCAAAGAATTAGTTGGTTTTAAATATTTTAGGACTATTAAAATAGAATATTATAGTAAATGATAAAAGAATGTTATAAAATAAAGTTATCATGATATCTAAATGGTAATCCAAACTTAATAAAATCTTAATATATTTCTGATCAATGATTACTCAATGAATAAAATATTAATTGTAAATTAAGAAATACTTTGAATCGCCTATTTATAAAAAAAATTAATTATTTTGATATGTCAGGATGTAATATTTTAATAGAGTATTAGAAATGGAACCAAAAAAAGATTGAATTTTTTCTCAAAGGCCAAACCTTAATAAAGAGGAAAGAATATCAAAAGTTTTATTATGATCATCGAATATCTTTATAATTACTTTTTGAAAATAAAAAGAATTTTGAGGATTGTAATAACTCTTTTGAGTAGCTTGATTGATTTAATTTTAAAAATAAGCTGTTATTGTAATTAGAAATTTAAAATTAAGCATCTTAAATAGAGATGTAAAAAACATTAGGTTAATAACTTGTTAGAAAAAACAATGAGAGGAATAAAAATTTTTCTTAAAACATTTGATTAGAAAAAAGTCATCGATAATTCTAATTATGTAGTAATTGTTAATATAAATAAAAATATGAACTTTTTCAATACAAATAATGTTCAGAAGAGTATTTTAATCAAAAAACTTAAGAAATGATCAATATCAAAAAGTTGGAAGAGGAGGATAAATTAAAAACTAAAAAGACTGTAGAAGATCAAAATAGTAATTTATCTTATTGTAAAAAGAAAAAAAATTAAATTGCAGAAGTAAATTCTAAAGAATCAGAATTACAATCAGTTTAAAAAAAAGTTGATTCAACTTATATTATAAATAGAAAAATAATAACAATTAGGGCAGGAAAAAGTACAATATAATTATAACATTTAATTAATTATAGATTTAACAATATCCAAAAGCATTATAATTTTCTAATACTTATAGGGGTATAAATTGCTAAGTTACTGATAATGGAAAGGTTGTTGGGTTACCTGGTTATAGTAGATGTTATTGCCTTTATCAATAAGCATTTCAAAGAACTGGAAAATAATATTTTCATTCTAAATGCTTAGTGGAACATGTTTTTTTTAATGGAATAGGATTTAGAAATATGATATCAAAAAATAATTATTAATGTCGAGGACTTAATTATGGGTATTATCTTAAATTAATGGTAATATATATTCTCATCATAATAAAGAAGTAGATACTAAAAATTATCATTCACATTTGCAACTAATTATATATCATAATCGAAGTAAGTATAGAACATAAGCATATTAAATGGACAAGATAGAATGATCAATTATCAATAATTGTAATTATCAAATCTATTATTAGCAGTTAGATATCCATAATATACATTTTTTAATCAACAGTTACAATATTGGATAATATCTCAAACTGATAATATAGAATGAAATGAAATATTATATATAAATGATAATGATAAATTAAGCATACATCTTATTTTCACAATAATTTAATATCAAAAAATATAATAACAATTTTCTTATTGAAATTAATTCAATATATTCACAAATATTTAGTTTGATTTTATAATTCAAATAGCTTGTTCAATTACTAGAAATTCAATTTAAGTAATTATTGGATTAGCTAAATTAAAATGAGTTATTTTTATGAAAATGTTAGGGTAGTCTATATACAATCATTAACATGATTTTAAATTTACAAGTATTAACAAATTGTAAAAAAAAACATTATAGAAAATATTTCTACACTCTTTTTAAACTTATTTATTTTGGAACAGTTAAAAGGAAATTTTTTTATTAGCTAAATTTATAATTCATTATTATACAG